AATCAAATGACCGTAGATAAGTGAAATTTTCACTGGTTGTTTATATTTGCATTTTCTATACACGATTATATTTTCAAAATATTTTGATTTATTTTGAACTGTTTAGGGACAGTTTTCAGTTTCCAATTTTATTAGTTTTTTTTTTATGAATATCAATAAAAATGTATTAGTTGGTTAAAAAAGCTTGAAAATTTAATAGAGGGCTTCTAGTGTATTGTTTCAAAGGCAGATGAAAAATATTAAAAATCCTTCGTCACAGTTTTTTTTTTATAAGCATTTAAAGTCCAAAAATTGACAAAATATGGAAAAATCACGAAAATTAGCAAATTATTTTGAGTTAAGAATTCGTAAAAATTTTTCTTTTTAAATCTAAGATTTTAAAATGTGATACAACCTTCCTTATAAGATTATCTACCTTTATCAATAAATAAATGTCTATAAGAAAGTCAAATTAAATTTTTATGAACATTTGAAATTCAATTTTTTACAATATTGGATATTCACTCAATTTCTCATGTAGCGATTTCCTTATTTTGTTGTAATACAAAAACGAATAACTGTAGATACATGAAAATTTCACTGAATGTTAATATTAGCACCATTATATTTCCTAGACACCATACAATTTTGAAAATATTTTGACTCTTTTTGAGGTGTTTACGGACATTTTCAGTTTTCAATTATTTTAGTTTTTTTTTCTATAAATATCAATAACGTTTTATCGGTTGGGCCAAAAAGTGTAAAAATGTAATACAAGACTCCTGATATATTGTTACAATATCAGTTGAAAAATATTAAAAATACATAGGCAAAATTTTTTCTTATAAGCATTTAAACATCGAATTTTGACAAAATTTATCAAATTTAAAATTGAATAATTATTTTGTAGTTAATAATTTATAAAAGGTTCAACTTCTATAGCTAAGGATTGAAAATTTAAAACAAGATTCCACATAAGTAAATCTGTTACCAAAAAGGTGGGTAAGAGGATGTCGCTCTGCTGTACAGTAGGTCACAAGTGGGTCACTGTATAATGGATGGTATTAAATTTGAATTCAATGATACAATACCATTGTATAAGAAAAACGATTCTGAGCGAAGACGGTATGTCAGTCTAGGTTTAAGACATATTATAGATATACATATCTATGGTATTAAAAAAAAAATTGACCTATAATAAATTCCAAATTAATCATATCACAATATCCATTAGGTACTTATAACACGTTATATATCAATAACAAACCCTGATACTATCATAGATATATAATATAGTGTACTTTAGAAGTTTCAAGTACCCACGAATAGTATTATACACTCACAACAAAATAACTAAAATAGGTATGCTAGGTTTTTTAATATGTAATTTCGTCCCAAATTTGAACTTAAAATGACCATAAAATAAACTGTGCTTGTGTATTTTTTAGATTTTTTGGGGAACTTTTCTACTTTACCGGACACCCTTTTTTTTGAAACTAATGTAGTTAAGCACGCTGAAAACGATGGTGAAGTCCAAATTTGGCGCAAGGACTTAGTTTTGAAGTTCGTTATTTTGTGATTTCCACGCATTTAGTTTACCGCGTGCCTCGTACGAATATTGACATTTTTTTTTCGATAAGTGCCTTAAACTTGTAATCACTGCTTATAAATAGGAAATCTAGAAAAAAACAGTGATGCCACATAGAAAGAAAAAAGAAATTTGTAAAAATGAGTTACTTCTTTCTTCATCGGGGGAGTCGATATGACAATTATTATAGGACATATTCTTTACTGGCGCGAAAACATTGAATTTCATTTTAAACAATCTATACTATGAAGAAGCATATACAATTTGTTTGATTTAATGGAATGGTCAAGCCTGACGATGGCTTAGGTTTGATTGCCAAATTACAGTCATTTGGTATATTGCCAAATAAACAAAATTGTATACGAGGACATCCGATGAGATTGGTTAAAGATCAATCGTCAATCGATAAATACAAATGGATTTATCGTGAAAAAATTAACAAAAAAGGAAAAAAATCATGCAATTATAGGTAAATAGAAAATTACTGTGACTAAGGATTTTTAATGTTCTTCATCTGCCTTTGAAACAATATATTAGGAGCCTTCTATTAAATTTTCAATCTTTTTCAACCAACAAATAAAATTTTATTGATATTTTTAGAAAAAATACTAAAAAAAAATGGAAAATGAAAATGTCCGTAAAGAGCTCAAAATAAGTCAAAATATTTGGAAAATGTTATGGTGTATAGAAAATGCTAGTATAAACATTCAGTCAAAATTTCATGTACCTACGGTCATTTGTTTAAGAGTTGCATGAAAAACCAAAATCGAATTTCTAGAAAACAGATTTTCCGTAAAAATTCCCGTTTTTCCTTAATTTTTATGTTGTTTTTCCCGGTGCTTGTGAAAACTATTGGGAATTTTAAATTTTGACCTCCCAAAAGTAGCAACTAGATTCACTTTCCCATCGAAAAAGTTACTGAAGTTGAAAATCGAAGCATTATTTCGACTACTAATCGTGTACACAGACACAAAAAAAAAAAAAAACACACATCATTGTAAAATCAATACATTCATCGTTTCACTCAGAATCTAAAAATCTAAATAATACATACGCACAGTTTATTTTTATAGTCATTTTAAGTTCAAATTTGGATTAAAAAAAACTAGAATAACTATTTTAGTTATTTCGTTGTGATTGTATAATATTATTCGTGGGTACTCGAAAGTTTTTAAAGTAGGTACACTACCTATATATCTATGATAGTATCAGGGTTTGTTGTTGATGTATAACGCGTTATAAGTAGGTACCTAATGGATATTGTGAAATTAATAATTTGGATTTTAATATAGGTAGGTACCTATAATAGGTCAATTTTTTTTAATACCATATATAAGTATATAATATGCCTTATACAGTTATACCTAGACTGACATACCGTCTCCGCTCAGAATCGTTTTTCTTATACAATGATATTATATCATGGAATTCAAATTTAATACTTTCCATTATACAGTGACAAACTTGTAACCTACTGTACAGCAGAGCACCTTTTTTTACTTAGCTTCGCGCCACTACCGTCGCGCTGGAGAAAAGTAACACCAATACGCACGTATACCTACTTCATAAATTGAAAAAAACTCGGGCAATTATTGGACTTTCCATAGAACTATAGAAGCTTTAAATACTTAGATAAATCATGAAATAATATGTTATAAAATTAAAAGGTACACAATACACATTTTATTTGATATACAAGATTATACTTGTGAACATGAGATCCAGAAAAGACTTGAATACTCACGAGCGTCGTTTTGAGTGGTAAAATCTGATAAGTTTTGATCCTAATGACCTAATAAATACACAATAGTCATTGTCTTAAATTCTTATATGCGCATATACCCTCTAGTTTCTTTGCCAAAACACCACTGGAAATTATACATATCAGATTTTAACTAAAGAAATGTATAGTATAATTAAATAAATACATCCAACAATTAAAATATATCTTAACTGCAATGATTAGGACAAAATGGACGATTATTTTATATTAATCGATTATCAGATTTAAGATTAATTTTAGTATTTATTTTTATATACTATGAAGCTTTTCTTGCAATCATTTTTTACTGAGAATTTAAAATAATTCAAATTATTGTGGTACATTTTACAATTATTTTTTCAAACATTAAGAATTATAATTTTAATATTATAACACACACTTTTTTAACAATATTTAATTCATCTTGAGAACAAGAAAATTGTAAATAAGCACATTTCTATCTAACTTTTAAAATTTAAAAATACCTACCGTCAACCCGGGTGACTTGGAACTTGGAGGTGACTTGGAACAATTGCGTTATTTTTTGATAACAGCGGTTAATTTTATGCTAGATAAGGGAAATAAAATTCTGTCTCCACAAAAATATTTTTCGGAAAGTTTTGTAAAAGTTTTGTTATCATCGAAAATGTGTTATCTCTTATCAATAAGCCATGTGATATAACCATAATTTAGTAAAAAAAATCCAAATTTTCAAATCCTAATTTAAGAGCTTTAAAAGTGTAACTTGAGCTTCTAAAATCAAGGTATTGTTATTTTTTAGTGAATTCCTAATGTGTTGTTAGTGTTAATCGCTTAGTAGAATTAGGAAAAAATATTATTTACATTTTTCAGGGTTGTTTTTATTTTAGGTAAAAAAAAAGTGGGTCACTTGGAACTATTATAAATGTATACCTGGCAGTCGTACGTACCGAAATTTACGGTATTAAATTTCGGTAATTATACCGAAAAAAAATGGTTTTTAACACTTTTTTTTTTTTTTTTAATATTTGTAGCGTTCCAAGTGACCTTCCACATATGATTAAATGCAATCTGCATTTGAAAAAACGCATGTTCCAAGTCACCAAAAAATCCGGGTGACTTGGAACAAGCACTTTTTATTTTTTTTTTACCTTAATTTACTTAAGACCTTAATTTTTTTTTGCTCAATCTATTCCTTGGAGGTGTGCGACACTGCATGATTTTTTACAGAATTTAATTATCAATAATGAATGAGTTACAGTAGTTAAAAGGTGAAAATCGTTCCAAGTCACCCGGGTTGACGGTATATAGTATATACACCATTACAAAAATATAAAACATAATATTAAGTACATATTAATATTATATTATAAAGTTTAATATTATGTTTGGAAAAAAAGTTAAGGATTTTTTAAACCATATTTGTAGGTACTCAAATTTAATTGGTAATAATATTTAATTATAACTAAACAATTTTTAATAACGATAATCATATTGATTTGTAGCACATTAAAAACTGATATTATGAATAAAAAAAAAAGGTCATTACAATTTGTTAAGATGCGTAAAACAAATTACAGAACATATAATCTTATATAAGTCTTAAGATTTTTAAAACAATGTTTTCTATATTTAAACAATAAAATATTAATATTAATTTAAACATTAAAATATAATTAAAAAAATTTTTAATCAATCTTCAAAAATTCCATCATCGTTATCGGAATAATCAGTATCATTATAATCATAATCAGGATATTCTACATTTAACTGTTTACCATGAGCCTTCATTTTGTAATTATTCATAACTTTACACCACACTTGCAAGTTTTTAGTTTCATCAATGCAGAATTCTGTATTATAAATAATATATTTATGTTTTTTTGTACATTTTAAGAGTCTAGGCCAATGATATTTAACTTCTATTAGTTTTTTTGCTTTGATAAAAATCCCATCAAAACTTACATGACAGGTACACAATTCATCTATTATAAACCCAAACAAAACTGCAGTAAAGGAATAGGATACAGAGTTTGTTTCAACATTTATTGTTATAGTATCCATTGTATATAGGGTATTATAATCATTTACTGACAAAATATTCAATTTAAGATAAATCCATGTGTCATCTTGATGCCAAAAACATTGAGGGACCACTGGAGTGACATTGCAATCTAGACAATATTTTTTCTCATTTTTTATACATTTTATCTGTTCTTTGTTTGCAATTACATTATCTTTATTTAATGATTTTGAATCGGACTCATTTTTTTTTTCATTTGTTGAACTTGGCACAGTTTGGGTTTCATTTGTTTGATTTGAAGTTTTGAATAGACTTTCTAATAGATCCATCTGACATTTGAATTCTTCTTCGTCAAAGACATCATCAACCTCACTTTCATCTTCCTTGTATTTATAATTTGAGCTTAAAATATTTTGTATTTGAGTATTATCAACATACATATTAAATTCATCAGCCATTGTGGCATTTATATTTATATCATTATTAAATAATACAACTTCATAATAGGTTCCTCCCGTAAACTTAGCATTTGTGGTAGAAGAAAGAACTTTTAAATATATCTTAGTATCTGTAAGTTCTAACAAACGATTATTAAATGTCTGATCTACAGTATCAGTCGGTAAAATAACATTAAAACCACTTAAGCTACACTCAATAACTTGTAATGGTAACTTGGTTATTAAACTTGAGGGTATTGTCAATAAATTATCAATTTCGACTTCATAAAATTCACCATAATCTACATACAGAACTTCAGCTTTTTTATCGTTGATTTTTTGAATAATAACACGATTATATTTATTTACTTCAGGGGATAAGGCTAAACATATATTTCCTACAGTGGCACAAGTTAATTTTTCAACAATTTTATTACTGATAGCATCATCAATGTCTCTTTGAAGAGCAATAACTCTTTCATAAAATTGCATATTAATTACAAAAAAACATTTTGGAGAATCTACATAACAAACAGATACATTTGATATTGTATGCTGGGATAAATGAGCCCATTGTACTTTTATTACTTCGTCAATTTCATTTTTTTGTTCATCACATGAAAATAATGGTATACTTGATTTTTTAATGACTAAAGGTTTTTCAGCACTTAAATGTTTTTTCCATAAATGAGCATCTTTATCTAAGTTTATTAACTTATCAATGAGCAAAGAACTTCGTCTTGCAAGATTGCGTTTAATTAATTCATTTGGTAATATTAAAGAACTTTTATACAGTTTACATGCAATGTGAGAACATTTAATACATTTCTTAGCTAATATCCAATCAACCCATAAAGTGATTCCTAATGTAAGTTCAACTTTGCAAATAAATTCTAAATCTGTCAAAATAATTGGTTCTAATAAACTACGAACAAGATTTGTTGTGTTAACTGGCCAATTGAAAACTGAACCTCCCTCTACCACTGGTTCCATGGAAGATATTATGATTTCAACAGCTACAGGCCGAAGTTCTTTTAAATGGCTTGGCAGTACAAATATTTTATTTGAACTAATTTCTTCTGTATGTCCCAAGTCAATTAATATTACTTTTACCTTAACTGTAAGCCATCCATAATTTATATCCAATACCACTGCTCGGTAAAATTCTTTTTGTTCAGTTTGTACCATAACCATTTCACCAATGGTAAAAGTTTTACTTAAAATGATAGTATTTGGTGTTGAGCCGATATTTTTTAATTCGTCTTTTATTCTTTCAAACGAGTCATTAACGCTAATCCAATCTTGATCTTTTGTAGGATCCTTTTTAGTACTATACTTAAGAATTCTCCCATAAAAATGCGAAGCACTAAGGATTTTTGTCAGTTGTATGTTAATCATACATTTTGTAGGAATATTGAGACATTCTTTATCAAGTGTTTTACATAAATCATGACGCTCTACACATGTTCCTTCACAGATACCAAATTGTTTGACTTTATCACAAAGAAATGGACGTGAACTTGATACTTTACTATCTTTGAATGGTATTTTTATAAAATCAAACATATTTGATGTATATATCAGTACCTAAAGACAAAAATATTAAAACAATTACAAATATATTTCATAATTAAAAATAAAAATATATAGGTACCCAGGTACATTTAGAAACCTCCACATGTGCAGAATTGTTGTGGGATATGCAGAATATTTTTAGTATGGGAATTCTACCTAGCCTTACTAAATACAGTCATACCGATACTATTATACTATATTAACCCGTAACCGGGACTCGAATTCAATAACCAGAATTTTCTTTCAACGACCGAAACCCGAAAAAATGATTCCGGTGCTAAGCTCTGCTTTTTATTAATAGGTAATTAAAAAATTCAGGGTTCGATTATTTTAAAAATTACTTGATTACAGGCACTTGCGCCATTTGGTGATGTAAGTAGTGTTAAGTTTAAGTAACTCGTAGTGTTTTCCCAAGTGGATTAATTTTTTTAAATTCATTACCTAATAACTAATCAGTTGGTTATATTCCATTTTTTAATTTATATTTTTTTTGCTTAACTTTTATTTATTAAGTATTTAAATTTTGGATTTTAATAATATTAGAGGGGGGAGTTTAGTGATGGTTTAGATTAATGTATCATAATATTGTGAAAAAGGTTCAAATTTAGTAGGACTAGACAATTGTGTGTATGTAGTGGTTTTAAATGATTTAGATTTTAGATAATATTGATAATTTGGCTGAATTTAGATGTTTGATGTGTGATTTAGGAGAAACGACCAGATTCCAGTTGAAATCGAAGATATCGTTTATATAATTATACCATTAATGAGGCTTTCCTAAGTTGATTGTTGTAGGTATGGTGTTTTGATTTATCATTTTTATCGATGGCACTACTGGCTTTTGTTTAACGCACGTTAAGTTTCCTTTTGGTGAGAAATAGTGAATATGTGTTCATTATAAATATTGATGATTGTGTTCGTGTGTAGTATAGTTTTCGTTAATTATAATTTAAAAAATGTTGTATTTGGGAAATGGTTGAAAGCAAATTGCCCTAAACGGTAGGAGTAATACTGACAGAAAAGTGTTAGGCGCTTGTTACGCACTTGTAAGACAGAGACAACTCTTGCGGGTATCACGTCCTTTTAAAGATTAAATACAAATTATGTAAAAAAAATATTTCCAAAATTGTTAATAATTTTTGATAAAATGAATATTTTCCTTTAAAGGTTTACCTCCCTGTATAAATTATTATAGGTAACTACTATCTACCTAGATTTATAGTATTTTTTTGAAAAACCTAGATTGATTAATTTTTTTTTAACAACATAATATAGTGCCTGTTATCTCTGTTATATTCATAAGTTTTTATGAATTACTTTTTTTAACTTGCAAGGTATACTTTTTTTTAGACAGTAGGCTATGTACTTGTTGATTTTATTTTTAACAAAATCATTAGGTAACAAATTCAATTTATGTACAATGATATTCAATCTTTTTAAAATGTATTCAGTACAATATTGAATATACATTAATGTTGTATACAACAAATTACAATTAATAACAACATGAATAAGTGTATAACATATTACAAATAGTATTTAATGGTTGTTGTTATGAGTGCTAACTAACATCTAACATAATAGTTATCATTCACTAATCAATATATAGCTGTCATTAAATTATTTTCTAACATTAATTGGGACAGATATTTCTGGTACAATTATAAAAAATAGATCTTTTAAGTACATACAGGTCTTTAAAAGCTTTATAAAAATATAATATCATGATGACGAGGACAACAGAATATCTAAATCTGCAATAATTGCAATGAATATTGTAATGAAGCATTTAAAAACACTTGTTGAATGTAGAAATACCTAAATAAAATATATGATATAATAACTAAAACTGACAACCATTAGTCGAATATATACAAATAATTATTAACTACCTATATTGTCTAATTATTTGATACAGTTATCATAGCAGTAAAAAATCTAAACTATAAAAATAATAAATAAATATGAGCACAAATGTGTGTAGTAATAAACACTTCTTATGTTATAAGCTTGTAATAAGCTGAAGAAATTAGAAATATATTAAACAAAAACACTAGTGTTACCTATGCCTCGCCAATCCTGGTACTTTGTTAAAATATTATTGATTTTTATTAATTGTATATGAAATTGAATTTAAACTCAAACAATGCATATTAAGTAATGTAATGGTCACTACCTAGTATTTCTACAATAAATTATACTCACATGTCACAAATCACAACCAAAAAATAATTTTGATATAAAAAGCTTTAACTAAAAGACAAGATCAAAAGAGTACAAAAGAGAAGTGAGAACTGAGAACTAGCTAAATTCATATTATTCCCATAACATTATTAGCCGCAAAATGGTATCATAGTGCCCCATCTAAACCAGCTAGTAATTACGAGTGATAAGCACTCAACTTGGTATACTAACGAAGTATAAGCGGGTCTAACATCATGTTAGTGCTTGGAACCGTTTTCATGTTTTTCGTAGGTTTAGACCACGGACTAAGATAAACAGGACTGGAAACGATAGACGGGAGGAGTGCGGGTAGCCGGAACCATAGTGTAACGCTTGTAGTACATGGACAAATGTGGCTCTATCTATTGATAATATTTAGCATTTGTTACACATATATTTATTTGCATATTATTTCTGTTTATAATTGTGGGGCGACAATCCAAAACGTACTATTGCCAAAATTGAAGAAATTGAGTTACATAATGATTCTTATAGAAATTAAGGCAGGGAAATGGGAATCGAATAGTGCAATCAAATTGTGACAAAACGTACTATTTCCCTTGTTAAAATCAATCTGAAACTCATAAATGACGCAAAACGCACTATTTCCAAAGCCAAAATTTGTCTAAATGCACTATTTCCAAAATTACGTCAAAACGTAGTATTGTCCATGTTAAATAGTTTGTTTATTGACAAATTGACGCAAAACGTACCAATTCCTCGAATTGTTTTTCCAATTTCCAAAGTAGGCCAAAATGTACTATTTCCCATACTATGAAGATAGGGAATATAATAATGGAATTAAATACATAACGTACTATTTCCAAAATCGTGATTTCTCAAAAAAGTGTAAAATGGAAATAGTACGTTTTGGATAGTTGCCCCACAATTAGGTACAATAGTTTATCTTAGTCCGTGGTTTAGACCCACAGATATATAAAAATACTAGATAGACGACTCCCTATTCCTACCATGTAATAATTATGAAGCCAACAAAATGGCCGAAATACTCTTATCTAAGAGGTGAATGTTTACAAAATATAAATTATGATAAACTGTGATAATTTTATGGCGGGAATCAAAAACTATTAAATATGTATTACAAATTACAATATTATTAGTCATTACAATATCATACACTTAATATAGTTACAACACGGACTAAGATGTACTTATATTTTTTATTTTATAGTATGTCTTAGTCCTTGACTTAAAATTAAGATTAAAAGTATAATTTATTGCAAAAAATGAGAAATACAATATAGATATAATAAACAAGTTTCAAGCTCGTCCAATAAGCACATGCTTGAATTCTAATGATCTGAGTTCATATTAAAAATGAACTAAAATGAAAATAAATTTAACTTTATGTTATGTCATATTACAACAAAATAAAGTAAAACAAAAAAGATTTAATTTTATATTAAATATAAGAGAAAATATTATTAATATATATCTTATACTTGGTGAAATTACAAAAATTGGTTAAATTAATAATATATTTATGTAATAACAAGCCTCTTCTAATTATTAGACGTTGAGTTCCAAAATAAATGCCATTAAATGGTATAATTAAATTACAATTATTTTATGATCTTGTATTTATAACCATACAAAGGATGGAATTTACTTGTATTAACTTTAAACATACGGTATAATACAATATGCAGTTCATAAGTTTTGACCAAAAGTTCAATCCTTAAACTCATGGTAAATTATATTAGTAAAATATGATTTAGTTTTGTTAAGAATGATTTTTATTAATTAATTTATAGTTTAGGGTAAGACATTGTTGTGTAATGTGTATAGGAGTATGTGAAGCCACACATCAAAATCAAATACAAACATTAAATATAAAAATCTTGATTTAAAAATAATAAACCTATGTAATAATACATTTGCATTCGATAATAATATTTTTTATACACTTCAATGTGATAATGTTCCTTTGCTAGATAGACCCCATAAGATGGTATTCATTTCATTATTAGTTAAAAAAATATCTAAGTATTCGACTCCATTCTTTTGGCAAAATGTTTTCAACAGAAATTTTAAATCCTGTTAGTAAAAGACAAAAATTAACTAAACAAATATTTTTTATTAACCAGTAGTAGGTATAAAATATTATATGTAGTATAGACTATAGGTACCAGTTTTATTTTAAATATTTGTATTATTATTAAATTAATTAATATACTAGTTTTGTTTTATTTACTTGAAATATTTTATATTTATTACTATAATATGTAGAACTAGTATAGATACAAATTTTGTTTTATTAATTTTAAATATTTTATGATTATTATTATACAAGGTAGTATACCAGTTTTGTTTTATTGATTTTAAATATAGTTTTTCAAAAATAATAAATGGATGTAAAATTTTTAATTAATTAATTCAGATTGTTTTTAAAAATATTTTACAATAGAACAAATTTTTATAAAATAATGTAATATTCACATGCACCATTACATAATTTACATAACTGTTGAATAAGCTAAAAGTTGATAATATGTATTTAAGACTTATGTAAGTAAGTTAAGTTATTAACATCATGAACTAACTATACAACTTTAAAGTTTAAACTTATAATTTATAATATTAAATATTGATCATATTATTATGACAAATTAAATAACAATAATATCTTTATCAGTATTATGAAAATGTAAACCACGGACTAAGATATAATGGACTGGAAACGACAAGGTGGGCGGGTGACGGGGGACGGCCCGCAAAAGGTGTCTCTGTTATCATCAACACTCATA